AATATATTCATTGTATTCTAACATATATGAACAATCTTGTTCAATTTCTCAAACATAAATCAGATATTAAGAAATCATAATCTTTGATATCATTTATTGTTCATCAATGAATCTAACTTAACAGTAAAACTTTCTCGTAATCAATTAGATTTAAAATTTAGTATGTATATGTATGTATGTATATATATATATATCTATTGTGTTTGGTAATAATCTAATAAAAGTCAGCTTTCGAGTTTGACGTCAATGGTTTACCAAAACCGCGACACACTATGATAATGAACTTTCTATATACAGTTTTATCACTGCAACTCTAAACTCTTATCTTTGTTATATTGAGTAAGGAGATAATATTATTAATGATCTCATTAAAAAGCAATCTAATTATATAGTACGAATATATTCATGAATTTCTAAACATTATAATATAAAATCAAATAAAAACTGTATACAAAGAATGAAACAAAATGGCATTAGAAAAATGATCGAAGAAAAAGAGAACATGATTAATATAAAAAAAATAATTATTTGTTAATAAATGAACGATTACGAACAAATAAATGATCGCATGTAAAAAGAATTTGTGACCAAATTTAATAAAAAAAAAAAAATAATACTCTAACTTTGTTTTATAATAATACACATAAAATATTAATAAAAATATAATATAAATAATATAAAAATAATTTTATTATTATTTTTTTTTTATATCTTCATATGTATAATTATATTGTATATTAAAATTATTATTAATATTATAAAAAAGATTTTAAAAAATTAAAATTATTATACTATTTCATTTATTATATTATATTATATTATATTATATTAATTAAATAAAATATTAATTACAATACTATTATACAATTATATATATATTTCTTTATATTTTAATTTAATATATTATATTATATATTATATTTATTTAATTTATTTTAATTAATTTATTTATATTTAATAGAAATTAATTATCTTACAAATATGACAACGAAAATTTTTCAAAACCAAATAATAATTTAAAAATAAACAATTAAACAAAACTTTTTACAAAGAAATTGGATAAAATGTAGAAAATCTTTACCTAAAGGGTGATACCACTAAAAAAAAAAACCTTGATAATTATGTTACCCATCAAATTCAACGTTTTGGATGATGATAGGATTTTGTATTGAGTTTTCAGTAAGACCCTGAGGGTGATATATTCCAGCTAGTTCTACGCGAATTGATGCTACAGGGTACAGCAGGTATCGTTATGCACAACGACAAAATCAATATACCTATATACATATCACATATACATATCTATACATACATACATATATATATATATATATATACAGTGAATAGGTGTTTTCGAATACGGGCCATCGAGATGACGTAATTCACGATATACAACTCGCATTGACACAAAGTCATCGGAAACGCTCGAGTTGTTTTCTATTTTTCACTATTATTTATCTCTCTATCTTTATCTGACTATTTTCCTCTCTCTCTCTCTCTTTCTCTTTCACTTTTTCATCATGGTCATAATACAAGAGGTAGAGTCCTTTTTTTTTCTTTTTTTTAACAAACACCTATATCTTTTTCTTTTTCTAACTGAGCAATACTTTTATCATCTTTCTCTTTCTAATTCTTTCCTTCTTTTCCCATCAATATGATCTCATACTAAACATACTAACAGAGAGAGAGAGAGAGAGAGTATGTGTGTATTCCAAGCTTCCACTCGGTCAAGCATGATCGAGATCGATCCCAGGGTATACAAAAGACCGTCAACCGAGACTACCAACACAGCCACTATACCGATAGCAAAAAGGTTAATTATAAAGAGAGCGAAGCACTAAAATCCGATATCATGCACTGCTCCAGCAATGGGTGAAGGGGGTGAGAAACAGGAGGGGATTCACTTGCCATAGTAAATGAAGCTGTTGTCGTATTCCTCTACCACCCTCCTATTGTCAACACTACCTTTTCTCACCCTCTATTACTTTCTATATTCTCGAGTATTAACACCATGGTTGTTGGTACCACTTGATAATAATAATAGGGGGGCCCAGTTTTCGTAATGCCTTTTTTCCAAGTGAAAACTTCTTTATGGGGAGTGATTTGAAAAAGGCGACCGAAAATACATAGGTAACGGTAACGAAACGATGAAACGGCTGTGGTACTAACAAGAGAAAACGAGACAAACATATGCACATCTATTGGATTTAGCCTAAGAGAGAATGAGATAGAAGACAGTATGCATTTGTTTCTTATTATATCTCGGTTTCCACTTTATGTGGTGTTTCATAGTCCCCACTCTTGGCTACTAAGTGTTGTATATGTGTGTGTTTGTGTGCGACTGTATACTACGAAGTGTAGACTCATATTAACTCAATCTCACACATTTAAAAATATAAATTAGTTCTTCGACTGGCCGCTAGACTATCCACGTTTCTCACAAGCAAAGCTGTTTTTATTTTTTTGAAGTGAAAACTTCTTTCGAATGGGTGTGATTTGAAAAAATGTAACGGGGCGGTAGGCGGCGATGTAACGGAGCGGTAGGCGGCGGTGTAACAGAGCAGCGGGCGTCTATGAAACGGCTAAGATACTAAATAAAAAGAGAAAAAGAGATGATTCGCAATAGGATATTGTGAATTGTGATTCAAGTGTCTCTCGATCGAAAATTAACGTCGAACAGTGTCATGAAAATCTGCAGAAAGAAAATATTAGGGAAGTTTCAAAGAGTTCGACGGAACGCGTTCGTGCATTTCGTGCACGTAGAGAGGTTTTTAGTTACCATACATATTTTAGTTACTATAAGCAACTCGTCTGATTTCTTCAAATTGAGAACTGTCTTACTGTGTAATATGTTATGTATTATATGTCAATAAAACGTAAAATAATTTTTGAATGTGGTAACAATATTATAATAATAATATTATAACAAATAAATCCCCTACAATTATTCTACATTTGATATTCTACATTCGTTTTATTCTCTCGAAACTTGGTTTTTTGAAGGTTTCACTTCTAACACGTGTGATCTGCATACATGTTTTTTTTTTATAATAAATAAAGCCTACAATTATCTTACACCTGATACGCTGCATTCGACTCATTCTCTCCAAGCGAAGGTTTTAAGAGGGTTTCACTTCTAACACGACACACACGTAGAAACGTAGTAAAGGGTTTAATTCGCGAACATGTGATTAGTTTCTTGTATTTTTTTTATGATAACGATACTCTAAGTAAGTCTGACGAATGACTAAATAGAAGAATTGGTTAAAGTGATTATTTTTAATGACTAGAGATAATAAAAAAAAGGGTTATAAATATAAAATCGGTATCGTGGCACGTTTTTTTCTTCTATCTTACGTTACGATCATCGTCGAAAATAGAATGATCTATGAATCATTTATCGAACTACGATAAGAATTCCAAGAACGTGTGTGTTGATATAATATGCGCGAGTATCGTTGATAACGAAAACTGTTGTTGAATTTTTTTCTTTTTTTTTTTTTTCTAGTTAATGAATAGATAATTTTTTTCTATAGTTTTAACATTGTGTAGTAGGAAAATTATAGTGGTAATATGATTTTTGGTCTTTTTTTAATGGTAAAACATTGAATCCATCGAATTCCACGATTTTTTTTCTATTAATTTAGTTTAATATATTAAATAAATTTTAATTAAAAAATAATATTAATATAAATTAAGTTAATATTAATTAAATAAAATAATATTAAAATAATAATCAAATTAAAATATAATATATATCCTTTTGTATATATTATATTATATATTTTATATATTCAATATAACTTTTTTATGTATAACTTATATATATATATATATATATGTAATTATTTAATACGTATATTAAATAAATATAATTAAACAAATATAAACTAAAAATAAATATAGTATAATATATATATAAATTTTAATAATTTAATAATTTAAATTTTCATAATTTAATAATATTTTTAATAATTAAAATTTCAATAATTTAAATTTTATATGTATGTATTAATGTTTATATATATATATATTTATATATATTTTTAATATTTAATATTTAATTATAATAATATATATATAATGTATGTGTGTATATGCATGTATAAATTTACGTTGTACCCTTGATACAGATACAGATACAGATACTCGTTATAATAATAAACTACCAACCATCCCGTGGGATAAAATTCTCATTGTGTGTATTGTTTTATCACATAGAGATGCAGAACAATAAAAAAAAATATAAAAGAGAGAGACAGAGAGATAGATAGTGTTTAGTTTGCTATTACCTAGATAGTTACGGGCCACGTACTTCTCATTTCTGAAACCCTCACACGTGTTTATTTTGTTTGCTCTGTTAAACTGTATTAAATTGATCGAACATATTATCTGCGTTGCAATTCTATTGACCAAAAAAAAAAAAAAAACACGTTATTTCAAAGTGAAATAAAAATCTTGAAAAAAAAACATCATGTTAAATGTTTCAAATAAAATTAATATAAAATAAAAAGATCAAATTATTCCAATAGTTTTACATTTAAATTAAAAAGTGTTTGATGCAAGAAATAATTTTATTTCACTCTCTCTCTCTCTCTCTCTCTCTCTCTCTCTCTCTCTCTTGAAAAAGAAAAGAAAATAAAATAAAATAAAAATATATTTTATGCATGCACTTGTACTTGCACATGCACATGCACATGCATATGCACGTACACGTGCATTCAGTTATCCTCGAGTTTATTATTTCCTTCTTTATCACTCGCATTTGTGAATACAAAAAAAGAACAGCTGATACGATCGAGCAGTTCTTCAAAAAAAAAAAAAAAGAAGAGTTGAAATGGTTGTAAGGGTTGTTATTTTCTCTTTGTATTTATCTATCCTTCCTTTGAAATGATCGAACACGATTATGGTTTAATAATGAAAGGGTTGAACACAAATTGGATGAAGTATTCTAATAGGTGAAAAAATAATTAAAAAATTAATAATTTTTCTTAACAAACCTGGTGGTCCATGGTAAGACTTTGCTACCCTCGAAGCTGATGCTCCTCAATTCGTATTTCGATCTCAAACGTAGTGGTGAACCAGGTGCGGTACCACCGTGAAGAAGATTCCTCACGCTTTTGGTGCTAACACCTGACAATGCGTGTCTTCTCGAAGTAGCCCCCTCTCTGGTTGATTGATTCGTAGTTCTTCTCAAAGAACTCATCTTGTTATATTTTTCTTGTCCTTATTTATATTTATTTTTTATTCACGACATTATTTCATATAACAACTCAAACAGCAACAACAACAACAACAACAACAATAACAACAATAATCTTCCTCAGGAAAAGAGGGAGTGGTGAATAAATATTCCTCTCAATATTTTATCTTAACTTTTTAATTCAAATCCTTCGTAATGTTTTTTTTTTTTTTTTAATCTCAGGTACGTTCATATTTGTTTACAAAAAAAAGAAAAAAACAACAAAGTAATTGAAAAAACATTTTTTTATCGATTGATAAATAATTTTCATTAATTTCACAAATTTGTCATTTCCTTCATCTTCATCTTCTTCATCATCTTCTTGTTCTTCTTTTTATTAATTTAATGGTGACCAAAAAAAAAAAGAAAAAATGAAAAAAGAAAAAACCCCACGTAGAAAAGATTTGTAATCTTTCAATGTAATTCACGTTTTAAATCGAAACGTGTGTTAAATAAATGACAATTACAAATGTCATTTAATCTTTCGTTATTCTTACCGACATACGAACACAGGTGTGCGAGCTTACACTGTACGACCATAAATGACTGTGCCACCTTTCGACCCCACCACCACCACCTCCACCATCACCATTCTCGGCTTCGTTCGCCACCATAACTGGCTCCGAGCATCCTTCCTTCCGATCCCCACTCTTCTTCTCTTTTCCCACCACTCTCATCATCCCTCTTCTGCACTATCTCACAATTTCTAATTTTTTTTTTTTTTTTTAATATTTTTTATTTTATTTTCACGAGTTAACACGAGTCATATTTCCCTCCCTTTTCCCCTTCAATACACGTGTTACTTTCTAGTTCTTATTTTGAACATTTTTTTCCTTGAAAATATATTTTTCCTTTTTCTTTTGTCAAACCCACAATAAAATTTGACAAAATTTTTATAATATATTGTATTTATTTAATTATTTATTTAATTATTTATTTTTCTGTCTATCTATTTATCTATTTATCTATCCCCATCAATCCTTTAAAATAATTGGTAATATCATCGTAAATAAAAAAAAAAATTTGACAAAATTGGTATAACAAATATTTGTTTATTTATTTATTTATTTATTTATTTGTCTATCTATCTATTTATCTATTTATCTATCCATCAATCTTTCCTCCCTCTTCTTCTGTTCAGTTCTCGATTATCGAGCCAAGGAAGCGCACGCACGCTTCACTCGTTTTCATCGCTCGATTAAACAGAAATCTTTTTACGGAACTCGAACGCGATAGGAATTTTCTCTACCACCCCCTCACCCTCCTCCTCTCTTAAAACCCTTAAAGAGTGATTCGAAGAGTGAGGCCTGAGGTTGCCAAACGGTACCGATCCTATACTACTACTTCTTCCACGTCCTTGAAATTATTCACGTTTCGTTCTAAATTTATTTTTTCTAACCTTTTTTTCGGGGTGGGGGGGGGATGGATGTTCTGATGAAAATAAAAGAAAAAAAAAGAAAAGAAAAGAAAACAAATTTACAAATTTAGTTTCTAACTTGAGTACCGTTGAAATTTACTTTCATTGAACTGTCCCGATTTTTCAACCCCCTTTTCGTCATCTCAACTACAACCCTTCCATTTTAAACATTCGAATCGGTATATTTCAATTTAAGGTGTACTAATTTTTGTCTCAACAAGTTTTTATTTTTGTGACACTGCGATCTGATAATTTTTATTTTTATTATTGATAAAATATTATAATAAAAATCAGAGACAGATAAAAAAGGATAATTTGGTTTTTTGTTAGATGACGATCATTTTGACATCATGACATCGTGACAATTACGATATGGAATAAGTGACAACCCCATTTTCCATTTGATAAATTTCATTTTCGCGCTGGTTTGTTCAAATACTCGGTAATAGTCACGTGTATTATCCCTTAAATTCCTTTTTTCAAATCCACGCGTAAATCCTCAAGTCGTTTAAAGATAACCCCTATAAAACGAATACTCAAACACACACACAGACAAACAATACAGACAGACAGACAGATAGACAAACAGACAGACTTACACACACGTAATTATTGTAAGTATTATTAAACACATGTAATAATTAAAAATTACATTCTTTCAAATATCAAACATAATTTTGGAATTATTTAATTCACGATTCTATCACCCCCACCCTTCATCAAACAAAAAAAAATCAACATCAACACGAATTAATTACATTTGTACACGAGTTTATTCGTTATCGTTCAAAATAATCAAATTTTTATGAAATTTGGTGTACAGGGGGTAAGAACCCCTTAGTCCAATCACGAAGAATTCACTTCGCGAAATAAATTTATTTATTTTTCTATATAAATATATATATATATATATATATATATATATTTCTCTTTTTTTCTGCCAATGATGATGATGATGATGATGATGATGATGTCACTGGTTGAACTTCCAGGATGTTCGTAGAAGACTGGACGCGATTCACGGCCAAGATAATTTCTCGTAGGGTAAAACCGTTGTTGGGGAAAAACGCATGCGTCGATCATGCTCTCTTCTTTTCCTCATGACTACAAAGAGAGAGAGAGAAAGAGAGAGAGAGAGAGAGAGAGAGAGAGAGAGAAAATGTATTCGCGAACGAATGAAACGTTTCTTTTTTTCCTCCTTCCACCCTAACTCTCATCCCCTTTAACCGAGAGAAGGAACACTCTCTGACATGTTTTTCGAAAAACAAGGACATACATTTCATTCGTCCTGTCCTATCTCCTTCCTTCCTTCTTCTTCTTCTTCTTCTTCTTCTTCTATGTTCATCCCTAACCCCCTTCACTTACCCTCTCTTTCTCTTTTTAAGTAGAAAGATCGATGTGAAGTCTAGGCTAACCAATTAGAACGAAGGAGTTTCAAGAAACGATGCTAAAATTCATTTCTTTTTTACCTTTTAACATTTTTCTCCTTTGCAAGAAGCTTCATCCTTCTTCTCTCCTCTCCACCCTTACCTATCCTAGATCTTCTTAATTAAATTAACTCTTTACGCTAGCGCGAATACAAGTTAACAAACGCGAATTATTCTCTAGTCTTGGTTTTTTATTTTCTTCTGTTTCTGTTTTTTATTTTTTTTTTTTATTTTTATCTTTATTTTGTTTTACTTACTCTCATTTGTTCTATCTTTTCTCATGGGACTTGAAGTGAACTAACAAAATTCTATTACTTCCGGTTTCTTAATATGCTAAGAGATCTTTTATTACGCGTTGGATTAAAAACAACGAGTTTATAATCGAAATGCATTCGATTGTACTAAGAATTTATTGAATTATAAATAAATTTGTATTAGTAAGTACGGGGTGAGTTTAAAGTATTGGGTTGATAAGAAAGTAATTTCGGTAGTAAGTAAATATATATATATATATATAATATTATTGGGTTGGCAAGAAAATAATATTTCACACTAAAAAACCGAAATTACTTTCTTACCAACCCAATATTTTGTAAATTCAATTTATAATATTTGTTATTTAAAATGAACACGGGGCGTGTATATTCATATATGTATTATAATTATCCAAATTTTGGATATGAAATGTTTGAATGTGTAAAATCATATTATCATGGATACTTTAAAAAGAAATTAATTAAACGTTCGTTTAAAATAATATTCCATTATAAGGAAAGTTAGGTTAGGTTATTGATGAATCCTGCCGAGTTAATGATAGAGTAATAAAGACGTAGGGATAGTAAAAGCATCGTTAAAGTTTATTCGGCAATAAAAATGTCGATACATCGTTGCGAGTACTTTTCTTAAAAAGGAGAATATTCCTTTTAAGGAAGAAAACGAAAGTTATCTCGCAAAGTTCTTAATTAAATTTAACAAGTAGAGACACCTACATTGACATCCGAAGGTATCGTAAAGATTAGTATTTATATTGTTTTATCATTTTTTGTTTATTTTTAAACAATATCTAATCTATCTAAATCGCTGCTTGAACAATAAAACAAATGGAAGACATGACGTTTGTTTTTATTCTCTCTCTCTCTCTCTCTCTCTTTCTTTTTCTCTTTATCTCTTTTTCTTCTATGATAAATTTTCCTATATTCGTTCACAATCGATCATATCTCGATTGATTATTTATTTATTTTTTTCTAAAACACATTTACAATCGATGTAGCACCTGTTTTAACTTCGTCAATTAAATTTCCGGCAAGAGAGCAGCTTTTTTAACTCCGCCATTTTGTCTTTTACATCTTCTAACCTCAAAAGATCGAAACTATCGAAACAAAAGATCATTTAATTTAGATTTTTGATCTGTTCGTATGTTACTTGTACACACACACTCTCTTTTTCTCTCTTTAAAGAAGATTTTGTTATTTTTTAAGAAATAATCGTTTCTTGTAAAAAAAAAAAAAATGGTGGTCAATGTGTTATCATTTATTAATCTCCATTAAAGAGAGGCATTTATCTTTTATGTGAGTCGAAATAATACAATTTAATAATACGTAAAACTAAAAAAGATACATAAAAAACACGTATTTTAACGAGGAAAATACTTTGTAATTGTCAATGCAGTTTATTTATGCGCAAATATATCGTTGCGATAACAACGATACACCAAGGAAAAAGAGTAGGGTAGGACCAGGGAAAATGGAGATATGGTTAAGTTAAGGATTCATTAGAAAATAGTAAAATAGAAAATAGAATAGAAAAGAAAAGAAAAAAGGGGAAAAAATCTAGCTATCGTTACGAAGCGTATGACCCAGCACCGTAAGTTTCATTACCTACTTAAGTAGATTATTATCGCAGCCATATTGTCGGTGTTTGACCAATGTGCATTTTTGTTTACGAATTTATCATACTTCATTAAATCCTACTTTCATTTTATCTTTCTTTCTCTCTCTCTCTCTCTCTCTCTCTCTCTCTCTCTCTTTTACTCTTTTTATTTACAACAAAATATTCTTGAAATTGTCAAAGTAGAAAATGGGTGGGGACAAAATTTGGTTTAAGTTTCTAATGAAGAAACATTATGTGAAATTTGTTAATAATTGTTTCCTTTTCTTTTTTTAGAAGAAAAGTCTTTGTTACAAAAGAAAAAAGAAGAATAAGAAGAAGATGTTTCGCATTATCCCACCCTTATGCTCTTGACGCATCTCTAGGAAATTTCTCGTGCTTGGTAGAACGCTTTAAAAGAATTTTGTGGTAAAAGATGGAGGAGGAGAAGGAGGAAAGTTTGACAAGCAACGGGATAGTGCAACCGTGTGTTCCGAAATGTCTGCAAAACTGTCCTGAAGGATTCTATGCCGCGAAGACACACCTTTACCAAACCTGATAAATATATATATATATATATATATATATATATATATTGTCGATAAGATTCATAGGAAACACGTAACAAGTTTTACGATTTGAAAAATCATTCTCCGTGTTTCCACAAAGGATGTCTATTGTTTTGTTAGAAATAATAATAATAATAAAAAAAAATAAATAATTATAGATATCCGTAGGATATGACGAAAGTAGGATTTTATGTAGTATTGTACATAGACAACGCATGCACTCACACACACGCACACGCACATATGTATATTGTTCCAATTCGTCGATTATTATAATCAGGAAATTCATAGAAAACAAATTGCACTTGTCGATTAATCGACGAGTTCATTTTTTATTTAATTAATTTTCAACCTTTTTTTAGGCTCGATGTTATCAATTCTATCTCTCTTTCTTTTTTTATTATCGTCAAAATTATTGAACAATCGTAGCAGTAATTTTTCGTTCAAATTTGTAACGAAACTTTGCCAAACTCTGCAATCCCACTCTCGTTTGGTTACGGTCAACGTGATCTACAATAGTAGTTGTTGCTAAAAGGGTTCAAACCCTAAACTACCTATCTTACCTATACACATAGAATATAACAGAGCCTTAGAAGTTTTCGAGTGGCGAGTGAAGAGAATGGCAATCGTCTTTTGCAACATTGTTCAACACGACAATTTTTCATGGTTTCAATCGATTAGATGAGATTCTTGTGAATTAGAAATTTCGTAATTAATATGAGATTCCTTCCTTTGTAAGTTAAACGCAAGAAGAGGTAAAATAAGGGCTAGAGATCCTCGAATGCGAGGCAATGAACGAAAAGGGCAGTGTTAGAGAGAATTCCCACGAGTGTCAACCCAATTTTCTCGCAATACTTGACTAATTCTCTCCTCTCTTTCTTAAACATTAAATTCATTTCAAGTAGTTCATGATAATGAATTAAGTAAATTAAAAAAGGATATTGTTAGAAAGGAAGGAGATCAAAGGACAAGAGTTATAGAAAAAGATAAAATGCAAAGAAAGGGTTTATATAAACTAAATGCAAGGACGGCACAATTGAAAAAACACGGCTGAACTTCATTGATGTTAATTTGTTGATCGTTGTAGTCTCGTTTAAATGTATCGTTTCGTGTCGTATCGAGAGAGATCGATTAGTCAAGTTTAGTATTATATAATAATAATAATAATAATAATATTTTAAACGATAACGAGACCGACGAGTCAACAAAAACTTCGATCGAAACTAACGAATCATCTCGAGAAGGACAATCTTATCTTCCACCACCTAGTCCTTCAATTTATATCTGCATTTCGGGTTCTGAATCGTCGTGGAACCAATTGGAAGCTCTCTGAGTCTCGGTCATGCGAACGCTGTTGATTTCCCTTTCGACGAATCTACTTGAAGTGGTACGAAGTGGAACGGTGTTAGAACTGTATTGCATTTCATTACGTCTACGTTCATCGAAAGATGCCAAAACTTCGATACGATCGCCTCTCCTGACAACTCTTGGTGTTGTCTCAACCGAACTGGCACCATCGTCGGCTTCCGTAGCCCAAGGTGGAAGATCCAAGATGGCCGATGGCATACCCCAATGTTCGGTGAATTCCGAACCGGATCGTGCTAAACTCGGTTGACTGAGAGATCTGACCAATGAATTGGCACCCCCTTCGAAGGAGCTTAAACTTGTCAAATCGTCTCTGTCTACTCTAGCGAAGTCTCTCACCGTCATTTCAGACATCGACCTCAAATCAGCTTCGCTACCAGCACCCCCGACCCCTCTGTGACTGGTACTACCCAATCGACGAAGACGTCCCACGTTAGAACCGGTTGCCATTGTAGCAGCCGATTGAGACGTTTGTAGACGATGACTCTGATTGGTCAAACTACGATGTGAACTACCACCGTCGCTCTCATACTCGTATAAAGTTGGCAGAGAGGACCTACGAGATCTGTTGTCCCATTCGGATGATTTGGACCTTTTGTATCTCTGGCCGTGATTTTTGCCGTGCACGCTTGAGGATGAGGTAGTAGAACCGGCGTGCGCTAATGGGGGTCCAAGAATACGAATGATCACGTCCCATTTAGCCGGTGGGAATAGATTCGTGTACCTAGCATCCTTTCGTATCAATTCGTAATCTTCTCTAACTACTGCCTCTGTTAGAAGGGTTCTAAGTGTACTCTCGGTCGTGATGATCTCGCGCCATTTAGCACGTTCTTCTTCCGTCAATTCGGACGCATACCGTGGTTCTAGTACCTTTGAGAGTCTTGCGAACCAATCCGTCGGAACGTCCGGCTCGTTATCGAGTGTACGATGATGAGTCGTATGAGCTGGTAGTGGTCTACATGGTATCTCTGCTCGTGCCGTGTATGTTGGTTCTATGCTTACGTCCGGTTCATCGTCGTTTGCCACATCGTTAGGATGTATCGTAGGTTCGTTCGTGATCGTTAAATTCGATGTTGAACTAACGTCCGAGAAACTTTCCCATTCTGGTGGTGGCGGTGGAAGATCCTCAGTCGGATAATTCCTGATTGTAACGTCCCATTTAGGATCGACTTGTTGTTGTGGTCTAGCACGGTACTCGGTTACTTGTCTACGATGACGTTCCACGTCCTCGATCGTTTTCTTCTCGGTAACGGTACGTAAGTAAACATCGTCAACTTCGTGAGTCGTTATTTCTGGACGTCTAGGTGTTACAACCTGTGCCTCGACAAGTGGTTCGGTCATCTCCTCACGAAGAATACGTTGTTCACGATGTTGAATCGCGGTATGAGTAGTCGTAGTAGTTGGTACGATAGGTGGTGGTGGTGGTGGTGTTGGTGCAAGAATACTGGCCACTCTATACTTCGCATGAGATTGATCCATCACTTCCGTTAAAGAACGTGTCTCCGTTAACTCAGTGTTGAGGGAAGTCAAAGATCGTGGACGACGAATTTCGTGATGTAGAATAGGTAACTGTTCAGCAGGTGGTGTAGATGGAATTCTTTCTTGAATCATAGTGGTACTAGAAGTTGTTTCTCTTTCCGCTTGTTTTCTTAGGATTCTCGAGTATACCGGAGGTGTTTGTTGACGGGACACGGTAGATGTGGACGAGGTAGCACCCGGTGGACCATGCAATTCTGGTACATACGAGAAAGTAGTCATCCTTGGTGGTGGACTTTCCAAAGTTCGACTCATAATGGATTCTTCTCTTTCTAAAATAGTCGTTAGATTTCTCTCAAGAGCTATACTGGCCACATCAGATTCCGATGGTAAAGGACTAGATGGTGGTGGTGGTGCTCTCTTAACTCTCATTTGAACGTCGAATTTCGGTTCGATCGGGACTGCCATTGGGTGACGAGGAACCGCAATTCGCGAAGCGTTGGCAGCCATCATCGAAGATGTTCCAACTTCGGCAGCAACTGTCTCAGAATACAACGAACTTGCCGTACGTACTTCAACTTGACGTTGAGTTTCGTGATGATGAACGAAAGCTTTATTTTCGTAGGAACCAGCCGAGGATACTGGAAGGGAACGTTCCTCGTCTACCTGGTGTGCATAATAAATCTACGTTAAAAATGTCGAAACTGTCAGTTCTATTATTCAATAAATCTTACAAATGATTGATAATATTCTTAAGAAATTTACCTCTGAATGACTTTCGCTGGGATAATCGCTAGGCAAAGTGTCGGAATGGTCGATGACCAAATTTGCTTCGCTGCCAGATGTGGAGGCAGCGGTCGTGTGAAGAAGTGCGTGAGCGCGTGGGATTTTAAGGCCTTCGAACATAGTTATGTTACTTAAAGAGGAACCGGATAATTTGGTTATTTCCGAACCGGTACCACTACCAAATGGATGACGATGAACAACTCGTACGTTTCTACGTTTTAAACACATGTACGAGCATCCAAGCCCGAGTAGTAGCAAAGATAGGAATAAAATAGCACAGATGATCAAAAGGATTTGGAATCCTTTCAATGGGGGTTCTGCCACGGCTGCTGGTGCTATGGTACCCATTCTGTTAAGTAATTATTAAGATTTAATAGATGAAACATTAATGGAATGACGATTGTAATTGTGAATGAAAATCTACTAACATGCTGGCAGGTGGGGCAGGTGGTGCAGGTGCTATTGGTGGAGGATATCTGCAAATTATTGTAATAACTTCATCCCCATCCATTTCTAGACCAGGATGAAAACGTACGACTATATTGTTGGTGAATACACGTTGAGGATCTTGTCTGGTACCACATCCTGCAATAATTTAAATATAAATCAAACATATACCTAAAAATAATATATAATCAACTTTACCTTTTAATGGTAATTCCAATTTGGCGTTTGCCAATCCACGACCTTTGACCATGCACGCGCTATTTCGATCGAAATCCGCATAAGCGACACCGTAAAATGGTTCTTCGAACAACAATTCAACGTCCATGCTACCCTGGCCACAATTCAAATATGCTTTCGTACGATTGAGAAATATAACTGAAGATAGATCGTCTAATTTGGTAACTTTGCCATCGAGAACGGTGCTCGGTGGTAGTCCAGGTTGATATTCAATGCTGTTACCCTGAGATGCATAATTACTCTGTGCCAGGACAATCGATGGCACTAATGTCAGCAAGAGTAACAGGTTTTTATACCTTGACAGCATCTGTACGAATAATAATAATAATAATAATAATAATAATAATAATAATAATAATAATAACAACGATAATTACATTGTTTTATTGGTCACATTTTATTGTATTGATCATCAATTCCTATTTTGCAATAATGAACGAACGAATGAACGAGCAAACATTTGAAAGCGAAAACGATTAGATCATCCAAGCAACCGCAGAATTATTGCGTTCGTTAGAAATTGTTGGAATGTTTAAAAGGTAGGATAGAAAAGTGCAACGCGTAGCATAGCAGCAGCCAACAGCTTCCTGTCTCCCACCAAGTATTTCTTCTTTTTTTTTTTTCTTCTTTTTTTTATATAATACAGCCACGCGATCCTCGACGGAATAACAGAGTCTTTCTCTCTCTCTCTCTCTTTCGGTTTCATGCACGGTTCCATGCACTCGGCAAGTGTTGCACCGTTAGATGCCGGTTAATATACTCTTCGTGCAGATTCGAGGAAAATAAAAAAAAAAAAAATAAAGAATGAATACTTAAATGGACACTCAAAAAAAAAAAGGTGGTTCCAAAGTTTAGTCAAGTTGATTAGTTTTAATTATTTGAAGTAAGTATCCCATCTTTTTGATTACGTAAATGTGTGCACTCAGGGATTCATTTGGGTCCCTCCACCCAAAATTTATTGTATTTTTATTTTTTATTTCGAAGAGTTAAATAAAAATTACTCGCACGAATTTACATGAGCTAATGTTAGAATATTCTCAACACAAATTAATAGTACAAGATACACGTGATGATCTTAATATCCACCAACGTAAGATTAACAAATACTTACTGTGACTGTGTGTAAAGTTGTCCTTCCTCAGGCAAAACTACTCCTACGCTTTTTCACGGATCTCAGACTGTTATGGCAATCGCATGGCGCACTGACCTGAACAAAAAAGGCAAGAGAAACTTTGATGACGGTTAAGAATAGAAGGTTCTTTTTATAATACAAAATTTTCGACGAATTATCGACGAACATAAAAAAAAAAAAAATATGAACATAATAAAATCAAGTTATAATATTATATCGAAATATGCAATCTATTCTATACAATTTTACTATATGAAATATTATCTTATCTCATTAATAATTATAATATCTAGAACAAATTGTTAAAGAAGTGAAAGATTTTTTGATAAGACACATTTGTTACAAATTGTTTGACATAAAAAGATGAAAATATTATCAAGAAAATTTAGTATCAAAATAATATTGATATTATTATTGATCGATCGACAACCTGACATCGACCTTCCTCATTTCCTGTCCCCCTCCACCCACAACGCAAACATAAATGCGTACACATGTGTGCTTGCATACGTAGGTGTGTCAAACATTTACACAAGTATGTAGAATCTTCTTCTTAAAAAGACCTCGACCAACTCCACTCACAGTCTCGTTTAGTCTGAGTCATATTTCCTTTTCTTTTCTTTCTATCTAACTATTTATCTTTTCTATCTTTTTCTACCAATCATATGAGTATACCTAAGCGCATCACGATCATATTGCATTCCTTAGCTTCTGCAGCATGAGGCATTGAATCGTGATTGTCCTACAGATCACGCCTACACGAATATATTGTCAGATATTGTCAGCATTGAACACGTGTATACTCATCGTAAGTGTCCTATACGTGCAACTACTTTTAGATTTTTAATGAACTGGCCTTTCAGAATTTCTTTCTCTCTCTTTCTTTCTTTCTTTCTTTTTTTTTTTCATTCTTTGAATGTGAAAACATTTTACAATTAGTTTGTATCGAGATATGTAAAGAAACATTTATGAACTTTGCATGCAAAAGTATGGCTGCACCTAACTTAACCTAACTTAATAAAATCGTGGATCCTATTTTTGAATTTTTAAATATTTAATTGGCCTTTAAGAATTTCTGTCTTTCTTTTTCTTTCTTTTCTTTTTATTTTTTGAATATGAAAACATTTTACAATTAGTTGGTATCGAGATATGTAAAGAAACATTTATGAAGCTTGCATGCAAAAGTATGGCTGCACCTAACCAAGCCTAACCTAACAAAATTTCTGATCCTATTCTTGGAATATTATTTTGTACTCTTCGTTCTATGTGCTTTCTTTCTCTTTTACTTGGTTTTTTCTTTTTTTTTCTTTCTTTTGAAACAACAACGGCAACGATATGGATGACGAACCACCGTGTCAGGAAACTACGAGAAATCTTTCCTATGTTTGTGAAAGGAAACGCTTAGGTGAACGTTAAATTACAAGAACAAACGTTAAAGATATTTTTTGATTATTATTATTATTTTTCTTATTTGTTAAAGAAACAAAATTTATTTACTTATATATACATGTACATATATTTTTACCTAAGTGATATTTTCAAGATGAAGAAGAAGAAAAAAATATTAAATAAAATAGAAAGGTGTCTAAAGAAGAAGAAAAAAAGAAAAAAAAAGAAATCAAGCAAAATGGTATACAGTCTATCCTTTCGAATTTCGAGAATTGATCGTATGTTCAAAGCACGCCTTCTACTTTGCTTCATACCATGGAATTTCATCGTTTTCTTTCTCTCTTTCTTTTTCTTTCTTTCTTTTTTACTCTTCAAACAACGAAAAGAAGAATCGTCGTATACTTCAAACTATTCCCGGATACGACACGTGACGAGGAATGACTTATCGGCTTCTTCTAAACTATTATAAAACATTTTTCTGTCTTTTTTCTTTTTTTTTTTTTTTCTCAACATTCAACGTATCTATGTCTCATCATGAACAGCATTTGAAATTACGAATGTGTCAACCAACGACAGATTTATTCTTTTATTATCATTTTGTTTTATTTATATTATTTATTGTACACGACGATACGAATGATTTATATATATATATATATATATATATTTTTTTTTTTTTTGACTATTATTTATTTGATATATTATTTATTTTATTAGAATTAACGTAAAGGCAAGTCAAAAAAAAATATAAGAACAATAACAAAAAATAGAATTGTAACATTTAAATGATGTATGGTGAGAACTAAAATTGTACAAATGTGTTTTTTTTTTTTTTTTTTTTGATAATAATTAAACTAGTACACGTAATTACGAGTTAATTATGGTCTGCATATTCGCGACGTTTAATTATATCCTTTTTAGCATGTTCATAGTACGTACGACTACCGATCAGTATTTGAACGTACAAGAAACAGCAATCGTGACCTCCTTATGGTCTTTACGCAATATCTACATATATATATATATATATGTATATACATACACATATAAAGATAAGTGACGTATATCTATATATCGATCGAATATAGAAATGACTGGCCAATTCTTAGTAAAAAAAAAAAAATGTGAAAAAAATACATCCATACATTCATGGATATTTTTATGATCATAAAAATCTATAATGATGCTTCATCCGATGATTTTATTGGTTATATTTACCATACACGTTCATATCTTTCTTTCTTTCTTTCAAAAAGAAAAAGAAAAAGAAATTAAATCAAATAAAAAATGAATATACCAAATTTTATAAATAAAATGTATTAATAATAAATAAAAATAATTATAGTTTACATGAACTTGTGTGAGTGTATAATACATTTATAAAATATAATTATATTAGATTATTATTTATTTATGTCATATATATAGTTATGTAAAATTTTGATTAGAAATAATTTATGGTTAACATAAAGAATAATTATTTATTGAAGTGTTATATATTTACGTAAAAATATACTATACTGTAGAAATAAAATTTAAAAACAAAATCATAAAGAATAATTATAATAATAAATTATTAATTATATAAATATACTATATAATAAATATATATATATTAAATAATTTATTATAAATTTATTAATGTATTATAAATTAACGTAAAAAAAATAATATTTTTACTAATTAATTTAATAATTAATTAAATATTATTATATAATAAAATTTAATATTAAAATAATTATTATTTTTTATTACAATAAAAATAATAAATTTATTATTGTATTATAACATAATCTAAAAATATTATTAATTAATTTTGAGATTACAAAGAATATAATTCTAATAATAAATTATTAATTATATAAATATATTACATAATAAAAATATATATATATATATATGTATATTAAATAACTTATAATAAATTTATTAATGTGTTATATATTTACGTAAAAATATAATTAATAAATTTTGAAATCAAAAAGAATATAATTTTAATAATAAATTATTAAATATATAAATATATATATATTAAATAATTTTTAATGTAAATTTATTAATGTATTATATATTAAAACATTAAAAAAATAATATTTTTACAATATAATTAAATATTTATATATAATAAAATTTATTATTAAAATAATTATTATTTTAATACATTAAGAATAATAAATTTATTAATGTGTTATAACATAACTTAAAAATATTATTAATAAATTTCGCGATCATCAAACTAAAAGAAAATGAAAAACCCCAAAAAAAAAAGAAGAAAATTTCCAATATAAACACACAAATAAAACAAATAATTTAATTAAATCTAAAAATAAAAAATGTCATACGAAAAAAAGAAAAAACGAAGAAAAAAATTATTTATAACAAATCAACAAATGATAGAAAATGTCTGTCGAGTTTACCCATAGTTCGAGCCTTTAAAGTCGAACCAAGTCAGTTATTCGAAGGAGACAACGTCGATCTTATTGCGCAAAGCCCCACCTCCTCCTCCTCCTCCTCCTCCTCCTCTTCTCTCAGCGACTTTCACTACCCGCATGCACACGCATACGATGGAATAAAATAAAAAGAAAATAAAAAATAAAAATAAAAATAAAAAGAACGTGCAAGTGAGACAGTGAAGATCGGAATAAATGAGTGAGTGAGTGAGTGAGTGAATGAATGAGTGAGTGAATGAGTTAGTAAGAGAAAGAAACATAAAATACATTTACAATCAAACATCGGATCTACCTCTTCAATCCGATACGCATACACACATATATATATACAAAGCACACATATGCAAAGTATTGCTGCAAATGTTTGTTGTGCCCTTGTGAACATATACTAGGTGTGTCCTACGTAAAAATATTTATCTATGTGTCTGTTTTGTTTATGTGTATGTATGTATGTATGTATGTGTATGTGTGTATTGAAAAACGTGGGTGACTATCGACTTTGTCACGACGTCTCGTCTCGCACCACTAACCGCACGAAAATCAAAAGAGAAAAAGATATAAAAAAGAAAAGAGATAGATTGAAAAATAGATAGAAAGACAGTGAGAGAGAAAGAGAGAGAGAGAGAGAGAGAGAGAAAGAGAGAGAGAGAGATATTGAAGTTGTTGATGATAGAAAAACAAAAATGTCAGGGCTACATTGATATCCGAATTGAAAACAATTTTTACTTTTATCCAAATTGTTTCGAACAATTTAAATGCATGCATCCCAATAGTAGTTCATTAAATAAAAAATTATAAATATTAATGTTAATTATAAAATATTGCTGAAAGGTGGGGGAAAATGGATGGAATAAATGTGGAATTAATGAGAAAGTTTGTTTCGTTATTTTAACTTTTATATCAAAATTGTTTTGAATTATTTGAATGCATGTACTCAGAGTTTATTTTATTTATTAAAAATTTGTTAATTATAAAATATTGCTGAGAGGTGGGGGAAAATGGGTGAAGTAAATAAGAAAATTGTTGTTCGTTATTTTTACTATTATATCAAAATTGTTTTTTGAACAATTTGGATCCATGCACATACACACTCCGAGTTTATTTCATATATTAAAAAATTATTGTAAATAATAATTTCAATTGTAAAATGGTGGAGAATGTTGTTGAATAAATGAGAAAGTTTGTTTTTCGAAACGTTTCTTTCACTATATTCGATTTTATATTTAATTTCATTGAAATAAATAAATAAGAAGAGAAATTTTTGGAGGATTCACAAAAACATAAAAAGTTTCTCGTTTAATAAATTTATTTCAATGTATAATTATACGTAACGTGTAATATTATATTAATTAGTTGTTTGAATATGTAATAGTTATAAAAAAAAAAAATAAAAATAAAAATAAAAATAAAAATTAAGTCAAAACTTTCCCCGTTTGTCGAGTTACGATACGTGACTTATATAAAATAATGAAATATCGAATAGAAACGCGTGATTATATTTGTATGATGTTTAAATACATGTTTTGTATATATGTGTGTGCATATATATATATGTTTAATGTGCATATATATATATATATATATATATATATATATATATATATATATGTGTAATATGCAAATATATCGAGTAACAAGCAAGCAAAAGGATAATAATTAATTATGTAACCGTAGAAATGAGGACGCTGGGTCGGATTTCGATGGAAAGAAGAAACAAAAAAAAAAAAAGGAAAAAAAATATAATAAAAATAAAAAAAAAAAAATGCAAGAGAAAGAATAAGGAAAATGTACATGCATGCATGTGTGAAAAGTATAAGTAGTAGTAGTAGTAGTAGTAGTAGTAGTAGTAGTAGTAGTAGTAGTATATTCATGTTAGAAAATATACATTATGATAATAATAACGTTGTTACGTTTTTTTTTTTTTATCGTTTCTAAGATAAAAGGTTTGATAGTTTTTCACGATAAAAAATAGAATAAGGTTAGATAAAAATAAGAATGGAAAAAACAAATTTTGTTCTGCATTGTTTGCACACTTGTAGAAAGATAAAAAAGTATCGAAATGTGAATAAAAAGAAAATAAAGAAAGATAGAAAAATAAGAAAAGGGATGAGAAAAATTCTTAAAAGTAAAACATTGTATTCAGTGAAACGAAATATAGTTAACATTCTCGTTATTTTTTCAAGTGATATCTTTTTACGAGACGTCAGCAATGCAAATTGCAAGAGATCGTCGTGTAACTCTAGAGTAATCCTAGAAAAATAAGTATAAGAGAAAAAGAGATAGTATAAAAGAAAATAAAAAGAAAAAAAGAAAGAAGATATAGAAAAAGTAAGTTTCTAGTTTCACAAATTTAGTTCAAGATACTTTTCTCAAAGGAATAATAACAATATTACATTAACAAAGCATTTGTGTTTTTCCTAACCTTAAAATGTTCTTGTCGTAACATATCAAAATTATTTACGTAAAAAATCTCTTTTTCTAATTTTTCATCACAATGATTTATTATACGAAAATATGAACATAAAAATAAAAATAAAAAGATTTCTTATTTAATTAAGAATTATTATTAATGATAATTATTATAATATTAATATTACAAATTAAGAATTATTAATTATTTCTTTATAAATTAAATAATTATCTATATTAATATAATTATTATTTTTAATAATAATTATTAACTTTAAATAAATAAAAATTATTATTTTATTATAATTATATTATTATAATAATTAATATAATAATTGTATTAATATTAATATATAATTTTATATAATAGAATATTTAATATTATATAATTAATAATAAAATTAGTATTAATATAATAATTATTAAATATTAAATTAAATAAAAATCTAAGAAATCTTGTACGAACAAAGACGAATAAAATTATTATTATAAAATTAATTATTATAAAATAATCTAACAAATTTTTCGTCAACCATGATTGAAAGTTTTGTCCATCTTTTTCAACTTAAAGGAACAAAGAAAAAAAAAATAATATGATCTTTTTATTCGTTGAAAAGGATATAGTCTCGGGAGAGTCTTGCGAAGCTGGTTGACCGTGCCCCGTACCAATGACGTCATTCCCGTCGTATCCAAGATGGCGAGGCACGTTCGCCAGGTAAAATCTACGAGCTGGCGGCGGGCGTGAGCTCACGTAGGGACCGGTTTTTCGTATGGTATCGGTAGAAAGACCAAGAGAAGGAAATGTTGTACTGGTTTACGTTCGCAAACAATTTCGTCGTTCCGAAAAACCACGTCTACCTCTACCTCCTCCTCCTCCTCCTCCTCCTCCTCCTTTTTTACCCCCTCCATCTTCTCTTCCTCTTCTTTTTTTACTTTTTTTTTTCTTTTTCGTAGCGTGCTCACTTGCCGTAACACGATGTTTTCGGCTTCATTCGTGAACTGAACAAAATAATAGGGAAGAAGAAGAAGAAGAAGAAAAGAAGATGATAGGATATCGAAAGGTACCGGAAAACATTGGCGTAGGACACTTTACTTTCTTTCTTTCTCTTTCGTACTTTTTTTTTACTACGTTACAATTGTATATTAATGTATAATACTGTTATAATGTATATACTGTTACAATTATAATACTGTATTAATATATATATATATATATATATATATATCTATATATATACAAAATTACAAAATGACATTGTAAATTAATATATATTGTATAATTATAACACCAATAGATAAATGTATTTACTATCTATGTATTATGGTAATCTAAATTATTACTTTCTACTAAAAATAGAGACAAAAATAAAATCAACTTTGCAACTAGTTATAAATTTAAACAAGTTATTTTTATTCATAAAATAAAAAAGATAAATATATAATCAATGATTTTGTGTTGACTATACACAGATGATGTAATATCTATGTTAAAATTATAATATACATTTATCTTTCAGATTAATGTATGAAAATGAAAAGTTAGGTAAAAGTCTAGTAATAAATCACGCTTGATCTAGGATAGTGATCACTTTCCTCTCGTGACACGCGTGATGATGATAATGATGATGATGATGATGATGATGATGTTACACCAAGAAAAACTTTCTTCTTGTGAGAAACAAAGTGATCTTTCTTCAACGAGAAAGAAAACATCAAACAAAGTTTCACTTATTAAATGTTCTCTTACTCTTTACAAATTCTCTCTCTCTCTCTCTCTCTCTCTCTTCTAAGTTTTTGTTTTTTATTCTCTTTAAAATGTATACAACGAAAATTCTACAAGAAAAAGATAATAGATAAACTGTTGAGGATAAAAAAAAAAAGTTTATAATAAATAAGATAAGAAAATTGAAAGAGAAACACGCGAATAATACAGCCCTGACCATGCTCAAGTTTCCTTTTACCAAAGATACTCCGAAACGATAAAACTTCCAAGTTCCAGAGATACCTCGATGAACAGAGAAAGAAAGAAAGAGAGAATGAGAGAGAATGAAAGAGAGAGAGAGAGAGAGAGAGGAATAGCAAAGAAGCTTTCGCAATGCACTCTCGAACGGTACGCGGACACTCTAAGAGAATCTGCGAACGCGAAGGTCAACAAGTTCTCTCTCTCTTTGCAACTAAGAGAACGCAGACGGTAAAGCGTTAAAGCGAGCAACGAGTACGCACGCGATGATCCTTGTTTCATATATTCACACACACATATATATATATATATATATATATATACATTCTAAAAGGATAACCTTTCGAATTATAAAATAAATTAACTCGACAAAACTTTCATTGCAAAATGAAATCCAATTTGAATTTCAAATTTGATCAATTTAATTACCACAATAGACATTTGAACTCTTTCGTTATTTTTACACACACAGATGTGATTTTATTTATAAAAAAATATATTTGTTATAACGTACCTCTTTTGTCCATGAATGTACACCCTTTTGCCTTTATTTCTTTAGTTCTTCGTTTAAATTGTAAAATTTGGATGGAAGGTAATAAATATAATATAAGAACCAAAATGACGTTGTTTAACACAATCACATAGGATATTTATGAAGATTGATGCACAGTTGTTGAAAAATCGGATAAACAAAAAAACGTGTATATATATATATATATCTCCTTTTTATCGGTGTACGCTAATTCGTATTGTTATTATCTATGTTTATTTTATTTTTTTTTTTTTTTATTATCGTTGTTTTTGTTTTCGTAGTGTCGCGAGTTAGCGCGCACGCGCGCAGTTTAAATTATCGTCGTACGCGATCGCGCGAGCGCGACTGAACGACCGATTCTATTCGAGAGAAGGTTTCACCTGCGAGTTGCAGGAGGTTCCCCCTACCATTTCGAGTTTCCTGCGAGTGGTTGTGGCAAACCTACTAGAAAGAGAGAGAGAGAGAGAGAGAGAGAGAGAGAGAGAGAGACAGTACCTTTACTCTAAACTCCCCCCCTTCTACCCTTTCTTCTTTTTGTCCCACCTCTCTTATCCTCTCCCACTTCTCGAACTTCTTTTACCTCGTCGTCATCATCATCTTCAATTTCAACTTCATCTCCATCTTCATCTTCAACTTTCAACTATAAATACAATTATATTCTCATACTCATCTTCATCTTCATCCTCACTGATCAAACTTTAGTTTGTTATTTTTTCAATTTAATTAAATTTTCTTCAACTTCATCTTCATCTTCAACTTTCAACTATAAATACAATTATATTCTCATACTCATCTTAATCTTCATCCTCACGGATCTAACTTTTGTTTTTCATTTTGTTAATTTAATTAATCTTTTATTTTATTTTTTTTAATTTAAACAACGTCTCTCTCTCTCTCTAAGCACACATGAGTTGGACCTGTTCAATTTATTTATTTTTCTTTAGAAATTCTAATCTTCATCCTCACGGATCTAACTTTTGTCAAAGTTGAATTTAATTAATCTTTCATTTTTTTATTTTTGTTTGTTTTCGTATTTCATTTGGACTATGTCTAAGCACGCATGAGTTGAACCTCTCCAATTTATTTATTTTTCTTTAGAAAAATTGCAACCGAGTGATATCTGTAGATGCAACAAAACAAAAAGATAAGATAAAAGATTTGATTTTTTTGTTCATAACAGATCTCGCGTGTACAGGACACGAGCCAGAGATCATCGAGTATCATGGATCACGTTTCACGAACACGCGTTCAATACGAAGAAGAATAAGAGGAAGAAAATAAGAAGGAGGATACCTTTGAGGTTAGAGAAGACGACGACGATGAAGAAGAAGAAGAAGAAGAAGAAGAAGGAAGAACACGAATATGACTCGTCCTTTTCTTCGGCGGCAAACGTAGAGGACTCATGTCCAAACGCATAAGCCGTTTTATTGGCCAGAAGAACGAACATGAGAAAGAAAGAAAGATGAGAGAGTAGTTTCGTTCGGCTCGAGCTCTTTCGAGTGGTCTTTCCAGTTTGCAACGATGATCAAAAAAGCGATATACATATTCCCCTTCCAACCCCTTCAACCCTTTCTTTCTCCCACCCTTAAGTTTTATCTTTTTCAGTAATATCTGTCCTACCTTTTCTATTGGCTTGTCCGGAAAATTCGTGCCGATTTTGACAAAAGATTGAAATGCAACCCATTTAAGTTTCTTTTTTTTTTGTTATATATTTATTACATAATAAATATATAACTGTATATATTAATTATTATATAAATTTATATAATTGTAAAAATAATATAATAATATATAATAATAAATATATATAATAGAACTTTAAAATTTCGTGCTTCCAGAACTTTTCAGGTTTTTTAGCATAAGAACTTTAATGCCATCTATCGAAAAACGGCATGAACTTTCCGGACAACCCAATACTTTTACCTTTTGTCTGTCTTTCTTTTTTCTTTGACTACTTTTGTCATTATTTCTCTTACTACTCGTTTCATATCTGTGTCTGTTTTTCTACTTCATCTACTATTTCTATTACTACTTCGTTTCCATATCTGTCTGTCTGTCCTCTTCTACTACTACTACTACTACAACTTTTGCTGAGAGTTTTTTTTTCTTCCTCTAACCATTTCTCTTTCTATCTTTCTCGTTGTTTCTTTCCCTTGTTTATTCTCATCTCTTTTTATCCCATTCGTCTTTCTTTTCCTTCTGGTGTCCGGCTTTGACCGGCCGTAAATGGCAAGCAGAAGGCCTTGGGGGCGCCCACGCCCTTTCCTTCTTCTTCTTCTTCTTCTTCTTATCCTTTCAT